CATTAGGGAGAGGCACAGATGAGCTATTTACAGAGATGAGGAAAATTCACAATGGCTAGAACGTTTGGGAGGCAGGCGTCCGAGGGCAAGTTGGCCAGAGCGAAGCCGTCCATGGCAGAACAAAACAAAGGGGAGAAAGCCACACAGATGAAAAAAAAATAGCACTCACAAAAAAGCGCGTGGGGAAATAAAAGAAAACTCACTAATTATTGTACCAAGCGTCCTTCACGAGACGCACGGAACCGTGCAGGCCAGGTCTCAAGGACGCTGACATGCGGATGTCCCATGCCGAGTGCGCCCGGGACGCGCCTGGGTCACTCCTCACACACTGTGAGGGTGAACTGAGGGCCGACTCCTGGGGGTCCAACTGAGCTGTACTTCCTTCATACAGGAGAGTGGGGACTTTTCAAACGGGGACAGAGGGGGCAGGTCATGGGAAAAGAAAGCCCCTCTGGCGGTGACATCAGCAGTGCCGACCCCCTGGGTTTTGTCCCCACCTTCTCCTGTTGGCCAGGAGGCCCTCGGGGCGGGCAGGGGACACAGGCCAGCACGGGCCGGGGGTGAGGGTGGAGTGCGGGGAGCGAGGGGCCTGGTGTGGCCCACAGTGCTTGAGATGCAGCAGTGCCCGGGTGACTGCACTGTCCCTTCCGGGAGACTGGTTTGCTTATTGTTGTGGCCACAGCCACTGAGGGACTAGCCTGAAGGTGAAGACCACCAGATCGTGCTGACACAGTTTTTCTCCCAGGTTCAGCTTTTCGCGCTGGTATTTACCGAGCTGTGTGGGGGGGGGCGCTTTGGGTGCCGCCCGCCACAGGACACGGCTGCTCAAGTCGCCTGTCCCCAACCTCTGCGGCCAGACCAGTGGCTTGGTCGTTATTTACAACAATGGGCTGCCTTCCGCCTGTGTCCCCTGAGGAGGTGGCTACGCAGTTTGTGAGAAGTTCCCCTCCTGCCCGTTCCACTCTGGGGGTGGTGGCGGGTGGGAGGCTGTTCACAAGTGCGCACAGGAAGCAAAACAGGGAGGGGGCTGGAAAATGAGATGATTTTTAAAAATCCGAAGCAACGAGGACATGAGCAAAGGAGCAAATTAAAAACAAGCCAAAGAGCATTCGTCCGAGCGGGCAGCTAGGACAGGCTCAGTGGGCGCGGGCGGCAGCGGGGTGGCCCCGGCCGCGACCTAGTCCTCGCTTTAGCACTGGTAGTGAACCCCAACTTGTTGTGCCTCTCTTAAGAGCTATTTGATAAAAAACTATGTCTTGTGAAATTGGCAAATAGACGGCAAAGTGAAATAAGAACAGAAGTTAACAGGTTAAACTGAGAGTCCAGACAGAGGGGGAAGAAGAGAGGAAATGGGGAGCCACTGGTCAGGATCCCAATCATCTGAGCCCCGGGGGCCGGGGTGGGGGGGCCACCGGGGCCTGTGAGGGAGGGGCCGTTTCCACAGTGGCCGGTGGTCATGCTCCGTCCTCCCAGAAAAGACCCCCTCCCCACTCCAACAACTGTCCAAAGGCACCCCACCCTCCTTATCAGAGCGTCTCATTTATTTTCACAGAATTTAAAGGTGGGGAGAGGCAGTGTTGCTTAACACCTACTACGTGCCCCAGGGAGGTCACACAGGTGGAGTGGGGCTCCGCTGAGAGGGACGCTGGCCACCCAGGCAGATGAGGTGGGCACTCACAGAAAGAGCCAGGTGGGTGGAAGGCAGGACCATTGGTAAAGGTTAGGTTGTCCCTTCCTGAAAGGGACACGTGGTTCGTGAATGGAAACACTCGGGATAAAGAGCCTTAGCCGCTCTCCAGGGCCGGGCACCCTTCCGTTTTGTCAGCCAGCCACCTCGAACTGCCCACCAGGATGGAGTCGGAGAAGAGGGGAGGGGTGCGGGGTCCACGCCCATCACAGGACAGACTGGCGGTGAGGAGTGGGTGAAGCGGCACACAGTGAGGACACGGGGGAGAAAGGCCTCGGGACGGTCTGAGGCTTGTCCTGACAACCTAGGACAAGTGGCGCCGACATCTCTGAATCACAGGATCTCACAGCACGGCAGGGGCAGGGTCCCCAGGCCGGCCTGACGGGGGGGACGGAGGGCAGAGAGTTGGGCCGCCCTTCTGCACCGCAGCCCTCTCGACCAGATCTACCAGAAACATTCCTCATGGGCACAAGGCGAGAGACAGATGTCAGGACACAGCAGAGCTTCCCTCGCCAGGATGCCCAGGAACCCCCGGCTGCCTGGGGAGAGGCTGGGGCCCACGGCCAGAGCCACCACTTTGCAACAGGCTCCTCCGAGGTCAGCGGGGGGCCGGTGCAGCCACTGGGTGAAACCAGCCTGGCCCCTCCGGGAGGGGTGTGGGGGGCTGGATGCAGCCACTGGGCCACCCCCTGCTGGCCCGGGGCCACCCCCTGCTCGCCCGGGGCCACCTCCCACTCTGACCCTTTCTGTGAGCAGGCGGCCTCATTCTTGGGGCCACTGATGGCCGTGGGTGAGGACCCACCAGGGGCCTGGAGGGTGTAGGTGGGTAGGGGGAGTTAGATGGCTGGGAAAGAACAGAATGGTCGAGTCCCACAGGTCACAGAGCCTCTGTCCGGCGTTTTATTGCCTGATTTCTGTCCCATTCAAACTCCCGTGACTGTGTTAAGCCGTGGGGAGCTGGTGACAATGGTAAACAGGTGGGCACGGGCACAGTCACCCCAAGCTCGTTCCAGACCCTTTACCAACCCTCTACGCCCCGAAGCCACCAGGGGAGTCCCACCTCATTCTACCACCCTCACCGGTCACTCTCGGACCTCTGTCTGTCCAGGGCAGATGCAGGGACGCAGGACCCTGGGACGGAGCACTACCCGACATTTCCTGGGTTGACCCTCGGGGCTCCGAGGGCAGGCTCTCAGGTGAGACAGGGGCCTCAGCATCGGGTCCACATTGTCACCGCCTACTCTGTCCTCCTGGGACTAGTGCCGCACCAATGGGGCAATGGCAACCTGATTGTGGAGGGAGGCGGGCTGCGCCTGCCCTCTGGGAAGGCAGCCAGGGGCGGGAGGCTTCCCTGACACTGCTCGCAGCTCTGGGGCTGGGCAGGCTGGGAGAGGAACGGAGAACAGGGAGGTGGCGCCCCAGGCCTCCCCTGGGGGGCTTGGTGCACATGAGTGCATGCACGCACACTCGTGCATGGACCACGTACTCCCACGACGGTACACCCTCCCTTCATCATCTGGCACGGCCCATCCAACAGCACTCTCTGTCGTGATGGAAACGGTCTGTATTCTGCACTGACAGTAGCCACGTGTGGCCACTGAGTAACTAAAATGTTCATTCCCTTCATTTCACTTAATATTAACTAATTTAAATCTAAACGTTAGTAGCTGCATGTGGCTGGTGTGACCGTACGGGACAGATGGATGCTAGAGAGATCGTGGAGTGGGCTGTGTGAGACCCAGGCCACTTGGGCCAAGTCCTGGCCCTGCCCCTGGAACCGGGCTCCTCCCTCTCTGGCCATGGCGCCCCCATCTGGAAACAGGGACACTCTGATGGTGGCTCAGACAGAGCGAACTCCAGACCAGCGCCTGGCCCTGGCAGGTATGTCTGTGGTATGTTGTCCTGCCCGCAGCCACTGAGGCGGCCCTCTGCCACAGAGGGGCCGTGGGGAGGCGTCCCTAGCACGGCCAAGGATGCCTGCTGAGGGCTCACCCTGATGGGGCCTGGCCGGCCCCAGGGGAAGGGGCACTCTCACGGGGTGTCCCCCACTCACGCTTCTCTGTCTGGGTCTCTGCTGCTGTGCCTGCCTCTCACTCCTACAATCAGAAAGGTGCACAGCAACCGTCTTGCACAAGCCACTCATTTACAGAAAATGGAAGTGAGGTCCGAAGGTCCAGAGTGACCTGTTCATCAAGGGCAGTCAGGACAAGAGCCTAGGGCTCTGTCACTGGCCAAGAAATCTGTCTTCCATAAGGCACAGTTCTAAGTGACTCCAGTGCCTCCTGACCCATCACCCCCCACACCCTTCCCACCCCAAAGCTCAGCCTGAGTCAAACACCACATCCTGCAGAGCTGGCTTCAGAGCCTCAGCCCCTCAGAGCCGTGTCTTTGCTCCAGCTGCTCCTCAGGCCTGAGCTTCCCAGCCCCTGGGCTGGATGACCACCCAAGGTGTGACACTCTGCCCGAAGCCCAGCTCCCTGTGAAGTGCCCCCCCACCCCAGCGCAGAACCCGAGGACAAAACTCTGCACCTAGCGCCTTCTGGAGAACCCCGCTGTCCTTCACACATAGACACCTCCAAGCACCTCAATATATTCTCCTCTGGACTCCAGGTCAGGGAAGGCTGGGGACATGCCGAGTCCCAGAAAAATCCCCCTTCCTTTTCCCTCCTCCCCTTACCCCTGTAAGACCCTGCCTGCCCTGCTGCCCACCCCAGGTGGAGGCCTCAGGCCCCCGGGCTACGTGGAAGCTGCAGCGGCCTGGGCGCGTCCCTGTGGGCCCTGCCTCCAGTCTCAGACGCCCGCACAGATGGGGCGGAGCATCTAGACTGGGCCCCGCAAGACGGACAGCAAGTCCAAATGCCGCAGCAAACCCGGCGTTCACCAGAAGGGCACCAAAGGCGTGAGGACGGAGCTGGAGGAGGGAAGGGGGGGGAGGGGAGGGGAGGAGGGGGAGAGACTTGAGATAGCGGGCCGGGCGAGACAGCTGCTGACAGGAAACCCTGGGCTCAGAGCTCAGTCCTCAGTGAGAGAAGCCCCAACAGGCTTCAGAGAAAGGACGATGAGGAGGAGGAGGGTGCCTGCCTCAGCCCCGTCCCCTTTCCCCTTGAAAGCTGCCACTCAGACCAGCAAAACGCTTCCTCCGCAGACTGAGCTGCCCCCTGGCCCGGAGTGAAGTGGATCTGAAGTTTAGCACCTATAGGTCATTTCTGTATGGATGTGTGTAGGAGCTGTGTTCTCTTTAGGGGCGCCCCTCCCCCCCAAAACACAGCCTGCACCTAATGTTTCCAAAGCCACCGGAGACACGGTCACTCACCTGGGAACTGATAGCCATAGCTAGGAGCGAATCCGGGGTAGCCACGGCCATAGGTTGCCACAAAGTTGGGGTAGCCTTGAACACAGAGAGAAAGAGCACAGTCCTGTTAGTACAGCCACCGCGGTCTGGGGCGGGGGAGAAACAGCCCGGGTTACTTTCCCCACACAACCATCTGTCTCCTGCAAGGGTCTTTCCTGGCCCGAGTCACCTTGCTCCTGAGGCTAGGGACACTGCTGCCAGCCCGCTGGTAATTAACCCGTACGTGGGCAGAAAGACTCCCAGAGCCACGCACTTTCTCGGCCTGCAGAGTAAATGCCACACGTTTGCACCAAACCCAGGGCCCGTGCCTGGCGCTGACATTTGGAGAGCTTACCCTGTATGTGCTTTATCTTAAAGCTATTGACAGAGGGAGATTAAAGTGCTCGTGATGCCCCCTTCCCAGGCAGTGGGTGACAGCACCAGCCGCCAGCGGAGCAGGCGACACTCAGGGGCCTCTGGAGGAACTCGGGGCCCGACCAGCCGTGGCCCAGAGGGGGGCAGGCCCCGGGAGCCCCCGTCTAAGCGTGGACACTCCACAGGGGGCCAGAACACTCCCTTGGGAGTGGTGAGGCCTCACCAAGCCCCTGAGCTTTGTGCCACGTGTTTCGACAGGCATTTCACAGCAACCGTGTAGTTACCCGGTCAGCAGACCCTGGGGGTGACCGGGTAACTGAGAGGTGCTTGTGAAAACCGCTGCTGGGCTGGGCATGGGGTGCAGAGGAAGCCCTGGGGGTACTGTGGCCTTCTCCGATCTGTTACCGAGCCGCTAGTGGGCGGCCACTTCCGCTCTCAACCCTGCCCCCTGCCCCTCAGCACGCTTCTCGCTCCGTGCCCTGCCTCTTGATTCAGGCCACAGAGAAGGCTGGCGTGGGCTTCTGGCACTGCGCGCCCACCAGCCACAGGAGGCCAATGGCTGCCCTGTCCAGACTCTACCAGACTTACTCGGCCTCCTTCAGTGTGGGGTTCTCCCTGCAGCCTTGCTCTTTAAATGCCACCGGCCACCCTACCACCTGCCCTGCCACCCCCGGCAGCTGGACTCTGGCTTTGACCTCTGAGATGGCTGTTTTTGGGTGGCCCAACACCTGACGCCCCTCCCCTGTGGGTCTTGGAGAGAGGCCTGCCGGCCATCACAGAAGCAGAGAAGACCTTCCTCCTGTTCTCTGAGCCAGGCAAGCTGGGACCCCAGGTTCGGCAAGGGAAGGTGTCAGAGCACAGTCCAGCACCTGGTGGTGGCAGCAGCACCCCCTGACCAGGGCACTCTGGGGTGTCCCTGCGTCGTGGCTGTGGCTCTGACGGCCGAGCTCCCGGTTCCTGCCTGTCCCCCAGGTGTCCTGGCTGTTCTGCGTGCTGCCACGGCCCCAGCCATCACCTCCCCTGCTGTTTCCCGCAGTCAGACTTGTAGCTGCGGCTTCCCACCAGAGTGCTGGCAGAGAGCCGCTTCGGGTCTGTGACAGTCACCATGCCCTCCAGCCACGAGGGTGACAGCTGTCCGCATGTGTCTCTGCAGTTCTACATGACCCGGGAAGCAGCCCAGCACAGGCTCCGGGGCCTCATCATCTGCCCCCCACGGCAGCCATAATGCAGGCCTTCTCTGACCCCGCTGGTGCGCGGACGCTGCTGGTGCAGGGACGGGTCCGCTCGCCAGAACCCGCCTCGTGTGCTGTCAGGCGCCGAGAGTTTGCCGGTCCTCCTGCTGCCCGTGCACAAAGGGCCTCAAAGGTGCAGACACAGGACTCAGCGTCCCTCCCCCCCTCCCTGTGCCTGCTGGGCTGGACAACTGGGGACCTGGGTGCCAGTCCTGCCTCTGGCCCGAGATCACGCCCCTGGGGCATGTGTGTGCACATGCGCGCGCATGGGGGTGGGGAGGTCTTCCCTGCTGTCTGGGAGCTTGAGCCCTGTCCTCCGCAGAAAGCTTCGCTGGACCCCCACTGTCCCCGACAGCAGCCGCCACCCCTCTCCCACGTTCCAGCGGAGCCTTGCCAACCTGCAGTCACACCTCACTGGCCAAGGGACCCGTGTCCACCTCACAGGGGTCTCGCCCCCTGCTCCTTCCCTGCTCGTTTATTTCCAAACTCTAAGGGTCTTCTTGGCAGAAGGCTGCGCAGAGGAGACAGGGCGGCCCTGCAGCGCCCACTAAGGAGCGGGCCCCAGGGGAGACGCGGAGCTCTGGCACTGGTGGGGAAAGCAGGGGACAGAGGGACAGAGACAGGACTCGGGTGCCTTATGTGGACACATGCACACGGGCTGCTTCCCTGGAACTTATTTCATGGCTGGCCAGCTCAATTCTCCTCTAAATTAATCACCTGCGATCAAATCAGAACTTTCAGCACTAGATTTCTTATGCCATTATTTCAGCAATATTGGTAAACGGATTATATGCAGGCAGCCAAATCACGGCTGCCCAGGGCCTTTCCTCATGAAAAATGACCGCTTGGCTTCTCGCTTCAGCGCTGGGGGGGGAGGGGGCCTTAAATATTTCAGTGTTAATCTGACAGCGAAAGTGTGAGCCGACGTGACACTTCGAGACGCCCTCGGGTGGGTGGGGGTGGCGGGTGGTGGACCGCCGTCCCTCCACTCCGTCTGCTCTCTCCGGGGCGGGGCGCGCTCGAAAGCCTTCCGCAGGAAGGAAGAAGGGCGTGGTCAAGTCCCCTCCCGTGTGGGGCCTCACCCCCATCTTCCCGGAGACGTCAACACTGTCTCCTGAACAAGGAAGATGAGAACCGGCTGCTGTCAGAGTGGGGATCTCACCCCCACCCCCCTCGCCGAGCATCCTCTGGGTCCGGCTGATGAAATCATAAATTCATAATACAACATTACTTCAATTTTCCTCTTCATTTACTGCTGTGCAGTGCGGCTCTGCTCAGGTGGCTCCCGGCCCAGCCACACGGGAAGGCGGGCTGGCTGCATCCCAACAGCACATTACGGTGGGCCCAGGCGGGGGCTCCGTCGGGCCACATCTCGGGGAGACGACCCGGCCGCCACTTCCATTAGCAGCTGGGCCCCTTCCGCACTGGCTGCTGCACAATTCATTTGCTCCAGCACTCTGGACGCCTGATCAATCCCATAGTAATTATCTCTTGTCACTGAAGGAAAAAACCAAGCCTTCAGCCTGGATGGCCACCTTTCCTACAGATTGGCTTCCCATTGTGGAGGGGCATGGATCAGAAATCTGTGACAGAATTTGAATTTGCCCGTCAGCTCGTGTCGGGGTGCCTGCTGGGGGGTGCTGGCGGAGTCCTCCGAAGTAAGGCTCCGGATCTCTGCCCCCGGCCCGGGGGATGTCCACCTTCTGCACGGACACAGGCCCCTCCTCTCCCGGGCTCTACTACTCTGCTAGGCCCGGGGCTTGAAAGAGGTGGGAGACAGGGGAACCGTGGGAGTGAGACATCTGCTGTGGGGGCCGCAGGGCACTGTCTGGAGCACCTCCCTGGCTGGGAGGTCTGCACACAGACACAGCGCCACGTGCCCAGAACTGCCCCAGAATCACCTGGAATCACGGGGCTCCTCTGGGCCAGCGCTGTCTAATTTAAATGGTGTAAAAGAAACCTTCAGTTCCACAGACACCCGGGCCACGCCACCAGTGCTGAACTGCTTGCTCCGTGGGGCTGCAGCTGCCAACGTGGGCGGTGCAGACACAGGGCCTTCCCACCACTGCAGAGAGTTCGCCGGCGCTGTGTTGCTCTAGGAAGGACAGTGAAGGGCTGAATTTTGAGTTTCCTCTGTCTACCAGGAAACAGCTCAACCAAAGAGGACCTCCTTGAGAATGACCTCAACACTTATTTTTGGGAAAGATAAATCCCCGTAGAAATTACAAATGAGTCTGGCCACGCAGCTGTGAGTCCCAGCCCACGTTGGAAGTCTGTTTGTGAAGGCCAGCAGATCACAGCTCCTTGTCCCTTCCCGGTGACGGTTTAGGGTTGGGAGGGGTGGCTTCCATTTCCAAGAGGCTTGAGGGTTTCAGAGGGGCTTCTCAGGACGAGCACGAACAGGAAGCCTCCGGCTGTCATCAGCCGGTCAAGTGTCTCTCCTTTTCTGGGCCTGCAGGGTGAAGCTTTCCGAGGCCTCGGCAACGAGGTGCTTTGCCAGCACTGGTATCCAACCTGTTAAATAGCGTCTGCCCAGCGAGGTCAAGAGAGTGAAAGGCGGCAGGATTATGTGGTGGAGAAGGCCAAGGGTAATCGAATGTACCAACAATAATCATGTTTGCTTTTATTAAGTCCACTCTCATTATGAAAAGCCAATGAGGGTCCAGTGCATTGAGCTGGGTAACTGTGGGCAGGGCTCTGCGGCTGCTGCAAGGCAGCGGGTGAGGCAGAGTCGGGGGGCCGCACGAAGACTGTTCCCGAGGGGCTCAGCTGATCTTCGCTTTGTCTAGGCCAAAGGCGGGAGACCTGACCCCTCCTCTTCCTCCTGCGTTCTTTTTAAGGAATTCCCATCAGGCCGATTACAGGCTGTGAGAGCCGGAATAAAATAGCCGCAGTCCCCCTCCCCACCCGCAGGACGTCTGCAGCCAACACTGGAGAGACTGAGGAAGAATCACTGTGGGACTATACGCAGCCCGTCAGCCTCCCTTTGACGAGGCCTCCGAGCGTGGAGACGCCTTAAAGGACATGTAGAAACTAGCTCTGCACTTTCCTGGCCGTTTCCAGACCCGGCAGGCGCGAGAGGCTCCCTTCTCTGCAGCATCTCAGCGTCCAGACCAGGGTGTGGCCCTGGGCAGGCACTCAGCAAATACTTGTTGAATGAATGGATTTAAAAACTTTCATGATTTGTAGTCTCGCTTCGAAAAGGCCCCAGAAGTGCCTTTTCTGTTCTTTCAACAACAATGACAAAAGTTTAAATCACTGAAACCTCATCTCACCGCATTCATTAATAAATTTTTAAAAATGTTCTGCATGAGCTGAGGTCAAATTGCTGTCGGCAGCGAAACAATTAGCCGGATTGCTGTTGGCGGCGAAGGTGAAGGTTCTGGGACTGTGATGCCGACCCAGTGTGCCAGGGAGGGGGTGACCCAGGAGACTGATGGGGACAGGTCAGGCCCTCCTCCCAAAGGGCTGGCCACCCCTCCATGCCACTACGTCAGAGGGAAGAAGCGAGGGTGCCAGTCCCAGCAGAGTGGATGGCAGCCCCTCACCCAGAGGGCCAGGGCGGCACTGGGCAAAGGGAAGGGCAGCCCCTGGGCATTTCTGGCGGGGGCATCGGAGGAACCTCGGGGGAGACCCTGGCCTGGCTAGGGAGGCAGCAGGCCAAGCAGACTGCGAGACTAGAAGTTTGTCCCCTGTGCCCGATTCACCCCTTCTGCCCAGACCTTGGGCTGAGCTGGTTCCTGGCTAGGGGCACTAACCACTCCGGAGTCCCCTCTTACCAGCTGTCCCCAGATGGCTCACCGGAGTGACCAGGGAACTCAGAGGGCCCAGGAGCTGCTGATGCTCAGAGTGCAGCACTCGGCCTTCTGTTGGGAGGTCAAAACACACAGATAATCCAACTCCTTGAGCTGGGGGCCCAAAGCGAAGTGGAGGTGCAGGTGCCAAAGCACAGGTCATACCGGTGGGTCTGGCTTTGCTCTTGGCCATGGGCAGAAAGGGGCCCGAGTGGAAGGGTACTGGGCACCGACGTGAGCCATAACTTGCCCAGGGCCCCCAGTGCGGACAGCTCCCAGTCAGAGCACGCACTATCGTATGCATTTTGTTGACCTGAAGAGACTTTTTTTTTTCACATTTCAGCATCTCTGGAAAGTGGGATCTATCTCACTGCCGACATGGGAAGAAAGCGTCCGTGCAGCTTGGTTAATAGCATGTTTTTCCTTCCAAACGGTTTGCCAGCCACGGCAGCTCAGGTCTGATGAAACACAGCACTGGCCAGGCGTAGTGTGACTTTTAGTTACTCTCCAAAACCCCGTGATGCGAGGATCTCCACAGCCCTGTCTGTGGGTGGGGTACCTGCAGGACAGGGAGGCTGTCTCTTGTCCCAAGTCACACAGCTGATGGGGTGAGGAGTCCAGATCTGATTCTGAAGTCTTGAGCTGTTCCTCTGGCTCACAAAGTCCGCTTTGGTAGAGGCTGGGTTGACCCCCTCCATTCTACCCAAAGGGCTGTCTGCTGGGTTGGCGGGGGCAGAGTGCCTCTGTGACTTTGGGTGGCTGAGTTCTGGGGCCTCTGCCTGTGGCGGTCTCCGTGTGGGCAAAAGCCTTAAGCAGCAGGGATGAGGATGATGGGCTGGGCTGGGGGAGGTTATAGCTAAAGAACTAACAGACTCTTAGCCACAGTATTTTAAATTAACAATTACTTCTTTCCTGTGGCTCAAGGAAGTCATACTCGAGACTCGAGAGGAAGGGGAAAGAGTTGGGGAAGATGAGTAAGCACCTGGCATTTATTGCTTATCTCTGTCCCTGACGGAGCAGGGGCCTATTAAATGGCGTCCAGAAAAGCACAGGGGGCATCTGGGTCTGCCCATCGCCAGCCATGGCCAAAGCCAACTCCAGAGCCACTCAGCTTCCCCTCCCCCTCTTCACATGTGTCCTGCCTGGACCTGCCCCTCTCAGCCGGGCCGGTCGGCTCTCAGGGTTTCAATGCTAGGACCCTCGCAATCCGAGGCTGCTCCTTTTGCCTGGGTGGCCCTTGGCTCACTTGTTCTTCTCGTTCCAGCTAAAATGTCGCCTCCACGGGATGTGTTCCCTGATTCCTGAGACTAGTTTCTATTCCTCTTTACATGCTCTGAAAGTACCCTGTAATCTCCTCTACTATGATAAACCCATCATCTGTATGATGGGCTGTTAAATACCATCTCCCTCACTAGGACCACAAGCTCCAAGAAGGCAGGGGCCACGCACGGCAGGGCCTGGCACACAGTAGGTCTGCAAAGACCCAAGCCATTCAACAAGGCCTCTGGCTGTGGCTCTGTGCAGGGGTTGAGCCTGGGTGTCTGTGGAGATGAGGCCTCACAGAACACACAGCTGGACGTGGCTGCTGCACCTTTGCTCTTCAGCACTGGCCAGAGTAAATCGGCTTCACTCCCACCTCTGCTTCCCCCTGGAGAAAACCCAGTTCATTCTCTGTGCAGCCAAAGGGCATGAAGCTAGACTCCGAAAGGTGGGGGCAGTTTCTGAAGAACTGGATCCTACAAAAAGCTCCCATTTTATGCCCTAAGGCCCTTATACAGACTCCAAAAGCCAGCAGGTAATAATGGGCTCAATTCACTATGGTATTTAAAAAACTCAATCCATTCAGAGTTTCCTTTGATCTACAACACAGGGTAAAGACCAAATAAAAAATGTTTTCTAAGTAAAAGCCAAACAAGTGTCTTAGAGTCAAGCAGGAAATAATTCTCACTGACTTATAAAAATAATCTTATACTAATGACACTCTTACAGAGACATCTATTTAGTTCCGGTTCTTTAACTTTTTCCATGAACAAATGTGTTCCTTGATACCACACCATTTTAATTACTGCAGTTTTGTGCTATGTTCTGATTCTCGGTCACATCAATCTTTTCTCAATTCTTCTTTTAAAACATTTTCTGACTTATTCTTAGTGTTTCTTCTTCCAGGTAAGTTTTAGAATCATTTGCCCAACTTTTAAAGAGTTACAACAGGATTTTTCTTGGAAACTGTTAGACCTGAAATACTAGTTTGAGAAGAACTAACATCTCAGCCATTTCCCTCCTTCTCACAGCATCTCTCTACATTTTAAACTCCACAAAATGACTTTACCTGTCCTTGTTATTACCTCAGAAAAATTCTCCTCCAGAATTTACAAAACCAAGGAACCTTTCATAAATTTAAAACTAAGCTAGGAATGATTGCAGCAAATCTGAAAATACATAAAGAGCTTATCAAACAATGTAGAAGAAAGACTCTCAGCCAAACCGAATGAAAACCCATTAACACCAGGCGGATCATGTGCCTGAATGGGATTTCACCATTAACTACCATTTATCCCATTTAATTAGTATTTTCCCGACACACAATAACTTGCACTAAAATACTGCTCTCTCGCCTTGAAATTTCTAATTATTGTTGCGCCCCACACCATTACGCTTCTCCACAGCGTCCTCAATCTTTCCTGCCATTTAAGCAGCAAGATTTTCAATTATCTACACAGGACGGACAGAGATACCTTTAAGGACGGGGCATAATATGCAACTCAATTTTTCTAAAAGCCAGGAGAGATCATTTTTAGTCAGGACAAACATACTTTGTCTTTCATCATCTTTTTTTTCAAATAAAGAATAAAACAGGCTATTTAAAACATCTATTTAAATGCAAATTTTGATATCCCAAGAGAAAAATGTTAATCATTTAAATAGACAGGATTATCGTCCACCCTCACCACTTCCCCCCTCTTTTCTCAAGTTTAAGAAGACGTAGCCTCAGCCCATACAAGTTCAGCCAGCCAGGAGTCCTTAGGTCTTTAAAATCTCTCAGGCAGGAGAGAGGGCTGGGGCAGACACAGGGAGTGCCTTGTTCTCTTTTTGAAGGTGGGGGTGGAGGGAAAGAAAATAATACCCAGCCCCTCCTATAAGCCAGGCACAGGATGAGATGATCATCCGTCCATCCCTCTTTATCTCAATGCCCATAATCACCTTGCAAAGGGTTTATTATTCTCAGCTGCAGATGTGGAAACCAAGGCTCAGAGACCAGCTGGTCAGTAGCCTAGTGGGGTGTACAGGCTTCCGAAGCCCCAAGCCTGTGGTGACCCCGCTGGGTCGCTGGGTCCCACCCCGACTCACCCAGCATCCCCATGCCAAGCATGAACGCATCCATGGTGTAAGGCAGTCCCCGGGCCCGGCCTCTTGTCCCAGGTGGGAACATGACTTCTTTCGGCTGAGCTTTCTTACATTCTACCTGTTAAACAGAAAAGTGAACAAATGAGATGCAAATGAATTCCACATAAATGTCAAATGCAGAACTGATCCGGTTACAAGCTGGGTTATTTTTAGCCTTGCTCCTTACTCACTGTAAAAATAGCCATGCCGAGTAAATGGGCTGCAAAATAAATATTTAAGAAAATACACCACTGGCGCAAATCCTGCTTCGGAAAAACCTACAAGGATGAAATTGGGTTTGGAAGGACGGCAAGGACATAGACTGAAGATACACATGTGTGGGTTGGGAGATCCCATGGCGCAGGAGGCCCGAGAGAGGAAGGGAGGCGGACGCGGCTGTCGGCGGTGCCCGTGAATAGCAACAACAGCAGCAACGGTGACAATCCCGCATGCCTGGCTGGCCCCTTTCATGTTTACAAATTTCTCTCACATTCCTCCAAGTTGACTCCTCACATCCCGGTCATGTGATGTGACCGCTAATTAAATAGAGAGGCCGATTAGTCTTAGCTCCATTTCACAGGTGAGAAGACTGAGCATCCGAAGACTTGTGTGAAGGGCACCAACTGTGTCCTGGTTTAGGCAGGCGAGGAAGCCGGATTTTTTAAATTCCTAGGTGGGCGATGCCGCCACTTCTGTAAAACCCGGCCCGGCACACTCCCCAGGAAGTCGTGAAATTGGGCACTGATTCCGTTCGTCTGGATTACAGGTTTCTCGTTCTGCGCCTACATCTTTAAGGGGTCGATAATCATTTCTTTCTGCTTCCTTTCGCCTTCAAAATCTCAGAATCCCATTCTGCTCACACATCCAGGAGTCACTTAGTTAACAACATGTATCTGTCAGTATCTATATCTATAAAAACAGTATGTAACTCGAACCCCAGGAAATAAGTGAAACTGTTGCCTGCTGAGGTTCCTACCATGTTTTTAATGGCATCCCTTGCTCAGTGCTCACTTGCTTTCAGTTTATGGATGAACTTCACAAGCATCGCCAGCCAGTAGCCAGTCCCACTGCGGATGAAGATGAGACGTTGTAGGGTCAGGCAGGGCTACTTGCAGTGGCCAAAGTAACCGTGCGACAGCCTGAGTGACGGGGTAAGACAAGAATCGGGTATTCAAATAGCAGTCTGGGGCCACCTGGTATAGGGGCCAAACCTCCACACAGCTCGGCAGCTGCTGCGGGTGTCACTGTCACACGGAAAATGACCACTGCTCACAGCACGTCTGAGACACGAAGGAAAAGTTCAACTGCGTGCAGTATGCTTTGTGCTAAAAGGGGCCTCCCTAGGTTGCCTGTTTTGGAGACTTTCTCATCCCAAATGGTTTATTAAAAAAAAAAAATTAGTGCTTAAGGCTAGGGGGAAACTTTAATTACCTCAAATATGAACTCTTCTTTCTTCAAAGACACCAGGTAGCAGGTAGTACTCCTGTTCTTTACCACCATGCTTTTAAAAAGCAGACCAAATGGTTTGACATATTTGTGACTGACGTGCTGGCAACACGAGAGTTTTTACAGATTAAAAGGGGAGAGATGAGTAGCCCCCAAAGAGGAATGGGTGAGGACGGGAATGGGCAATTCACACATGGCAAATAAAGACGCCCGCGCCCAAAACGAGACATAACTCTCGCCTGTCAGACTGGCCGTGATGAGAGAAAGGATTATTTGATGCCGAGTCCCCAAGAGTCTGGGCAGGAGGGGTGGAAATTGGCACATATTTTTCCAGAGGACAACCTGACACAAAAAAATCAAAAGCCGTACATGCACACATCCTTTAACCTAATAAATCCTACTTGTAGGAATTTAACCTGCAAGGCCTTACGGATGAGGCTCTTCACCACGAGCATTAATTATCATTAAAATAGGGAAATGCCCTGCATGTCCAAGAACAGGGAGTTGGCGGGGCTGAGCGGGGCTCACTGCGGCTCACGGAAAGCCACGCAGATGTGGAGAAGCATGCTGGGGACGACACGCGTGGGCAGGGGGAGCCCGCAGTCCCGGCAGACCAGGGTGGTCGGCTGCCCCAACTGCGAGCGAGGAAAGAAGCAAATGACAGTGACTCTGTGGAAAACAATCAAGGGTATACACCAAAGTTGTGTTCGAGTGGTTTTGTTCTTTAATTCCCAGTGAGCATTTCATTATTGTTCATTTCTCTAATTTTCTGCTCAAAGTGTCTTTACTGCTGAGAGCAGGAGGGGAAGGTGACTGCAGGGAAATGAGTCCCCTCTTCCTGTAAGAGGCCTGAGGTGGCCTCTGAAAATGGTTCGCTGTCCGCTTGACCCAGAAAACTCCACAACATCATGCAAATCAAGAGCTTTAAATTTTCATGGTCACTTTTAAGAACTCTCGTGAAACTGCCAGGCCACCAAGGGTATGCACATCTGAAAACCCACCAAGTATCTGAAGGATGTTACTTTACAGAAGCAGTGTGGGCCATTCTGTCCTCACAACGGTGGAGTTGGTAGGTGTGCCCAGGCCAAAGAGTGGGGCTGGGTGCAGGGTGGGTGCCCCCAAAAGACTGCTGAATTTTTGCTACACATGCTTAAAAAGGCAGAGAGTGGTGCTGAACTTGAGGGTTTAGAGGCAGCCTCTCTGGTCCTGGAGCCCACCCCAGTGACCACGGCTCCTGAGACACAATGCGGAGGTCACGGAGCTCCTGGGTGGGTGGGCCCACGCACGAGCTCTCAGACCTGCCCCACTGAGATGACCCCACTGAGGAAGAGCAGACTGTTCCCACACCAGAGAGGAGGTCACACGGAAAACACGGCATCCGAGAAGAAACTAAAACAATGGCCTGGGAGTAAAGCCACCAAAAAAGAAATGCTAATAAAAAAAAACCAAAACAGAAAGGAAGGAGGGAATCAGAATTGGGTGTGTCAGCTTTCTCCACTAAACCCAGGGGCGACCACTTGCTCCTGGACGCCAGACCCACCCCCCAGGACTCAGAAGCAGGCTGAGAAACCGCGAGTGCAGAAGCCTGCCCGAGCCCGGGAGATGGGTGTGCTCTACCGAGGCAGACAGATAATCACCTGCGGGATCCGGAATAATACCGATAACCAGCTCGCTTCCTAACAGCCCTATCGGTGACAATCTATTGCATTGTCTTATGAAAACCTGCTGCCTGTTCCTAGGCAACCTGATCAACGGAAATTCCAGGTTTATACAATTTTCATTTAGGGAACATAAAGGTTAACTGACTGTAATGGGAATAATTTAAACAAACCCACCTACTCTTCGTCTCACTGAGAAGGGCTGGCAGCTCTGTGTAATTCTGCTGTCTCTGCGGGTGTTGTTCTGGGCAGCACCGACTGTGTGGGTTCTGTCAACCATGCGTGCTCCCGGGGCCAGAGGCCCTGGCCTGCGTACTCTCTGGGGGACCCCGGCAGGTCCGGGGCACTTGAGTGATGGGCGGAGGCGGCAGGCTCGCCCCAGGGAGCCCGGTCGTCCAGCCCCTGCTCCTCGGGTGATGTCATATGAAGACAACGAACAAAAGGCGAAAGAGGCAGAGCCATCCTCTGTTATCTTGAGTCCCGTTAGAGGGGCTTGCAGGGGGTGGAACTACATCCTTTACCCCTCCGACTGGAAGAAACCTCATCTCCCTTCAGCCTGCTAGTCCCCAGGGCAGGGATCAGGGTCAGCCCCTACCTTCCCTGGTCCCTCAGTGATGTTCCATACAGAGTATGGATTGGCTTATGCGTTCCTCATGGTCAAGGAGACGCGGTCTATCTAAGTCGATGGTGCAGAGGCCCTCCGTGCGCCTGGCCTCCCCGTCTGGGTCCCCACTCTACTGAAAAGAACAGACTCTGTCTTGTTCTCCTGACATTAGCCAAGTCCTTACACGTCAATCTGCTCCTTGTCACTTCTGGACCTGTCAGCCTCTGGAGCCTTGAGTTAGACCACATTGGGGCCACACCCTCCCACCCTAACCGCTGCTCCCTCCCACCGGGCCCTGTGCGAGCCAGAGAACTTGGACAAACAACCCAAGTTACGGTCAGAGCCCGAGCGGGGAAACCCCAGCCTAGCCCTGCGGCCGAAGTCATGTACTCAGTCCATCTGGCCACACGCCGTGTCCCAGGGAGCCGTGCAACCGGCCTGCCCCCAAGTCAGTGGCTCCAGCAGCAGTTCATCTCCTTTTCTCCTGGTTCTGGGAGTGTGGGGGCTTGGTGGGGCTCCTGCTTGCTGCCTCTCATGTATCTGTGGTCAGATGGCGGCCCAGGGGGCCTCTTCACTCACAGAGCAGACAGGGGACACGGGCTGGGCTGGGACTGTCCATGAGGGTCCGCGGGAGGAGTGGGGGCTCCTCGTGGCTTCTCCGAGCCACTTGGCCGTCTCACGGTTATGGCAGTGAGTCCCAAGCAGAAGCATTCTGAGAGGAGGCGAAGCTGCAGGCTTCTCGCAGCCCAGCCCTGGGAGTCACGCTGTCACTTCCATCACGTTCTACTGGTGGGAGGGGGACTGGCCAGGGCCTGGCTACTGGAAGGTGTGGATCCCCGGGACCGTCTCTGGAGACTAACTACCAGCTGAGGTAGACGGGGGGCCACGAGCAGGCAGGGCAGTGGGATATAGTCCGCCCGCCCTCGGTGTCCTGTGGGCTGGGTTCCCGGGGCAGTGGGAACGAGGGCGCCGTGGGCGCCGTCACCACGGGACCTGCCCTCCCAGGGCAGCCGCAGAGACGCTCGACTGGCTCCCCAGCGGTCAGACCTCTCGCTCCAGCACCATCCCGCAGGCCCCCCATGTGACCTGTGCTCCCCGCCCCACACCGAGCGCTGCCTCCGTAGCAGCCGTGGTGGGGGTCGAGTCTGAGGGAGGAACGTCTCTGAGTGCCTCTCCCGATGGTCGCCATTGCTGTTGTCTCAGATGGCACGCAGAAAAACCAGTCTGGTGGGGGGGGGCAAGAGATTCAGCCCGGCGTGCTGTGTGGATTTGTGCACGTAAGGAGCTTCCGAGGACACTGGTACCTGGCCTCTTGCTCCAGGAAGATGAGGTCTCCCATTTGTAAGTTTCGTGGCTGGCAAAGCCAAGAAG